ACGAGATCAGCGGTTGGCTCTGACATGGCGCCTTGTTTACGTACATCTCAGAGTAGCAGGCATTGCTTAAAACTCTCACGGGCCAACGCCGTCCTCTCGCACACAAACGTTTAACAAACCGCCGTCGATGGGAAAGTGATATTGTGTGACAGTGAAACGGAACGAGGTGCTTTGCAGCTCTTCTCTTGTGTTGAACAGAAGAGGACAGGTGAGCTCTGCGGTGTGGCGATAAGAGCGTCGGCATCTACAGACAACAGGTCCCTCAGCGCATTGTTTAAGAAGGATAAAGGAGCGCAGTCGCACCTCCTGAGACGCTGAGGAGACAACAGCCGTCGTCATGGCCTCGTCCAAAGACTTCTTTGTCCCTCTTCCTGCGGGGAATTCTTGTCTTCCTTTTTCCCCGCAGACCTCTATCTCTGGTGTCGCATCACCGGTTTGTTCTGCATGTGCCAAGTGAAGGTTCTATTGAGGGTGCACCGAATTCACACTTTAATGAGCAGTGACAGGATGTCAACCCCCAGCTCGCTGCTGCCACCCCGGCACCCACCTGCACCCTTCCAGCTGAGTCCGCCTGTCTGTGTGATGACACCGGCAGAGCCGTTTCTCTCCGCAGAGACGGGCGGCCTGTTGATTTGTGTTGCAATAATGAGGCAACGTCCACACATTTTCCCCAGCTTTGTCTGATATGATTTTTCTTTGAGAAACTTGGTATTTTCCATGTCCCATTTGGCCTCGCTGTGATACCTCTGATCTCCTTGGATATCCAGAGAAAGCTGCTCTCTCTAAGTGGCCTTTGGCTCTGTTTGATCATTGTTTGAGTTATAGACGTCTCTTTGAGTCATAAGTCAGATCGCGGATGACAACCTAACATGTGTTGCTATCCCACTGCGCGTTGTGTGTGAATAGAGTATGCCGTGTGGGATGTCTTGTGCTCGAAGAAGCTCCCAGGTTTTTTTTTTAAAAACTTTAAATTCAACTACATGATCACCCGAAGATTAACCAGAAGACTGTTTCTCTCTCTGATTCTTTTATTTTAAGGACTTTTGAGACCTGAAGAAAAATATGTTTTTAGTATTTAGCAACGGAAAGTACAAAAGAGAAAAGAAATATTGCGTTTGACAGAACTTTTTTCGATGACCATGGAGTCGTTCCTCAGCGTCATAATTAAAAAGGGGATCGTAATGCTGAACGGTTGTAGTCTGTGTGGTTGTAAGAAATGGGGTTGTCTGTTGTTCTGTTGGAAAAAGTATTACATTTTCCAAGCTAGCGGCCTCGCCTTGCTGACTTTATTTTGTGTTTCTTACACATTGTATTTGTTCTGTGCAAAGCCAGCTAGGAGGAGAATGAACGGTGGGAGTTCAAGCAAGGTTCACACGCTGGCTAACTTGTTCCAAATGAAGTGAGGAATGCTCTTTGCTCTCCTTATTAACCAAACAACACCTTGTCAGACCCTAAATGTTCAGCTCCTCCCTGTGCCACACATCATGAGATGATTATCTCAAATCAGCTTTCTTTAGCAAAAGTTACAACACAAAGTGAGCTTTTAGCCAGTCTTCCCATTTCACAAGGTCTCTCTCTCTCTATGTAATGATAAAATATTTCCCATAAGGAAGTGATCACACATTCGGATAACCCTGAGCAGATGTGAGAAAGTCTTAACAAGTTAACAAGCCGTGGTGGAAGTGCAGATCGTGTCACTGTTAAAGCAGCAAGAAACTCTCTCCGGGGCCTTGCAGAGGAGGTAAATGGATGGAAGAAGGCGGGTAAAAAAAGGATTGTTCACCATTTGTTGGGGCTTCACGCAGTCCTTCACATTTTTGGGTGGCAGTTTATCACAGGGACCACTGTGTTGTTGTTAAAGCGAAGCAGATCTCACATGCAACGATTTCAAAGTCGTCACAGCCTTTATAGGAGAGAAAGCAAAGCTTATGATTTGTACGTTGCGTACAGATCAGATGTCTAAAAACAGAACTTGCCTACAGCATTAATGTGCCCACAAAAGGGAAAGTGCTTCAGGAAACGGGTGAATTGAAGTCACGATTTTTTTTTCTTTTTTACACTTCAGGCCAGTGGGGAAACAGCAGTATTTGTCTGAATGTTTAGTATGTTTTGGGCTTATATATTAACTAAATTGTGTAAAAGAGGACGTGAAACAGGTTTCACAGTCTTTATTCTCCTATTTTCCATGTTATTAACAGTACACAGACAACGCAGAATAGGAGAACATCTTTACCGACGGCCATATTTCAGAATATGAATTTGTTATCATATTAATCTGCTGTACTGAAGAAATAAAACAACATATAATTTAAATATATTCTGCACACTATTTACTGAAGACAAAAAGTGTTGTTTGGTTGCATTAAATATTCCACTCTCACTCACTTGAAGATAAAAGCACAATTTAAATCCAGTATAAATAATGTTTGTATACACTCAACGCCTGCATGTGCTTCTCGCTTTTGTTCGGCTCAGACAAAGATAAAGCCTAAATTGGCGATGCCTCTCATCAAAGGTGTTTTCTCTTTGTGCTCCTCAACGTGAATAGCTCAACGTTGTGTGTAGAGAAAATAAATGTAGATAGGAGACGGGGGGGAAAGTGTTCACCTACAGCAAAAAAGAAACTTTAGTAATTGCCATAACGCAAATAATGAGAGGCTATGTAGCAAAGTGTTTGAAGAGCGGTGCTGATCAAGATAAGATTGGAGACAGTATCTTGGGAGAGAGGAAGTGTTTTTCTGTCTTCTGCCGCTGAAAGGAAACTTAAGTGACAGAGCTACTTATATGAGCCAGACGCTGAGACGAACCCCGCAGAAACAACCAGGATAAATGAAGTTCAGGGTGTGACGAGGACGAGCGGCATTCAGATTCCACTTGTGGTCGAATAATACGAGAAGAAAAAAGTATTTGCATTGGGAAGGATCATAGAAAAGTGCCCAATGCAGCTTTGAAAAAGTGGTAACGGTAGTCGCCCACTAGTGGACATGGTGACACACAGTAAACAAACCAACATATTAAAGTTACTGAGAAAATATGGACCGGCTACAGGGTTTTCAGCTTAAACTCAACTGCTAAGGTTTTTTTTTGCAGGCATTTGTTTCTTCCAGGAGTTCTGAAGAAAGTGAAACTGACTTTTAAAGCGAAGGCTGTGGCTGTTCCATTTAGCACTTCTAGATATTGTTTCCTGCAAGCTGAAGTTACCATAAATTTAATGAGGCATCATTGTTAACACCATTCTGGCCACTTTGCAATTTACTTTTATGGTGTCATATCAATAATAATTTGAACACACAACACAACAAACAATTTTACAATAAATTATTATTTAAGCGCTGCATTTTGGCAGCGTGTAAGAATTTTCCAGCGTTAAAGTTGATTTTTGTAAAGGTGTAGCAGACCAAAATTCGTAAAATGCCCAAAGCCAATGAAAAACATTTGATTGAAAGATTATCTGGTTTTTTTACATATATGTCCGTTTCATAAGTGTCTTTATGCGTGCAAAACTATTACAAACTGAAAAACATCATATTTAATATAATACTCGTATAATACTCGTGTAAATGACCCAGAATGTCTCTGCAAACTGTTTTTTGGGGGGTGTAATCATCAACAGCTGCATAACAAATGAATAACAGGCTAATAATGATTGAAAACAGAGGCTAGACCTGATGGTGGTGAACCAATGATATTTTCAGGGGCTATTAGCTAAATCTGCGTGTCTGTGTGATTTAAAAAGAAATACCTGGTTTAGCTTCATAAAAAAAGCGGTGACATATTTGTAAAAAAAAAAGAAGAAAAAACGTGTTTTCCATAAGAGACACGAGCTATTCTTTGGATTTCGCATGATTGATGCTTGAGTTAATCCAGTGCTCTTTGCGCCGTCCCAGGAGGGTGAGGCGTCTCTTTGTGCTCCTCCGTCCCATGTGAAGCAAACCAAAGCGGGAGAGTGAGGGTCATAGCTGTTCGGCAGGGTACCAGATCCTTCCCACCGGCACATCTGCATGTGAAATCGCCATTTCACCCCTCCACACTCCCTAATTGTTGCTAAAATTATTTGTGAAATTGCCTTCCACCAGGAGTGTTTTCCACGGCAATTGTCACACACTGTTATATGCACGGTGGGCCCACAGAGTTGACACACACACACACACACACACACACCTCTTCTTTTCTGCCATATGTGGTTTTTTATTCGTGTTTAATAGTGGTGTGTTTTTTTTAAACAATTACCGATGAGCGTTTTGGTCTTGTGCGCGAGGGCAAGTCAACCTGTTGTCGCCAATAGCGGGTCGATCCAAATCTTGTAATTACCACCGCGGCTATAGGAGCGATTTACACGTTCATGCTGCGCACATTTACTTAATTGAAAGGTTAACAAGCCAAACGCATCGTATAGTCTGACCGTCACAAGGCTGGGCTCCGTTCAGACACCAAATCACCAACTCCTCAAAGTGTTTTGCCCCGTGTTTTTATTCATATGAAGCTCTGCGGATTTACCGGTGCAGGTATGGAGGGATATCAAAAAACGAATAGTGTTGGTCATTTGATTCAATTATTAATATTTATTCATCTTTGTAATATCTGTATCAGTATTGAATGCTTAATCTGCAGGCGGTAAATGCATCGCAATCATATTTTAATGAAACGATGACAGGTGGAATTCATTGCTAGTAGTTTTTATTCTACGTTATTCGAGTTCATTTTACATCAAGCAAAAAAGGGAAAATGGAAATGTCACAATTTAAAAGCATTAATATTCCACAAGTTCAAACGGCTGAATGTCAGGGAAGCACATTTGGGAAAGACGGGATTTAGGATAACATTTAGACATAATAACATTTTGAACTGCCTTTTGGTGTATGGAGCCGTATGCGGGAGGCAGCAGTGAATAAAAAAGTGAAATGCGTTGCTCTGATTGGTCGCTTGGCTCCTGGCAAAACCCACTCGCTTTCATCCATAAAAGAAAGGCACGGGAGCCTATGGGAGCGCGCGGCTGTCTCCTCCTACGACATGCACGAAAGTTGGCCACTTAAACTACTTCCCACCAGCCAGCAGACATTCAACTGAATCCAAACTACACCAAGGGAAAAGAATAACATTGCATTTTCTCCAACTCATACTCACAACTTTAAGTGCTCCGATTTTGCAGACTTCCCAGTTCGAAGGGGTCGCTCATTTATTTTGCAGCAGCAGTCTTTTAAAAATCTATTTTGGCACGTCCATCGCACCAGAGGAGAGCATCACTTTGTTTTCCCCGCCGGTGGAAGAAGGGCTTGTCCGGTTTCTCCGCCTGGGATTGGGATTTGACAGCAGGCAGAGCATCATATTGATCATTTTTGAAGCCATTCCGTTTTCAACTTGGGCTGGAGTCCGTTTTGTTGTTCGTCCAAGTAGCTAAATGATGGCTACTTTACCAGGAACAATGCCTCGGATGATGCGCCCTGCGCCAGGCCAGAACTACCCCCGAACCGGCTTCCCCCTGGAAGGTGAGATACACGACGACGTGTGTTTGATGTTTTGAGACAAAACCCACCATTGCTCCACTCAGATTCACACACGGTGCACATCGTTGCTGTTAAATAAAAATGTGGGTGATCAAATCTGACCTCCAGTCAGTGATGATTAAAGTCAACAACCTGAATCGAAAGTGAATTACAGTTGCAGGGAAAGCATCAACTCGTGCTTTTCAAATAAGCCACGGCCTTTTAAAAGCCCTTATACTCGTATGATTTGATTCAGTCAGAAGATATTTTCTTTGTATTTAGTGTAGTTGTTTGTACTGGATTTAAATGTATTTGTTTTCAGACATAAATAAATAATTATCTGCGTTTAACATAATCTGCCCTAAATGTTTTTACACGTTCTATGTGGTATTTGTTTTATATTTTTGATGGTTCGTATTTCAAATTGTGGTTTGATTTTATTGATGACCAGAGCAACAGAAAATGTTGAATTTGAAAATATTCCTTGTCCTAAAATTAAAGGCAGCCCGACAATCATTCAATGCTTTGGACGACACATTAAACAGACTTTATTTATTGTTTTTTTTGTAACAATTTAAGCAACATTTATTTTAGTCCAGCTTCAATTTATACAGACACACACAAACACACGCACACACACCCACACACACAAAAAGCAATCTATTTGGTAATTTTTTTTAAAACTTGGATGTCCACACTCAAGTTGTCTGAACATATGGCGGAAAAAGATCACTTCGTATTTGCATGCATTTATGGAAACAGTTTTCCCATTACACCTAGTTCGTGCTCAAGTGCTCTGGACTGAAATGTACAAAAAACACGTAGCTCGCGAGTCACTCGAGCTCCGGGATTTGTTCAAGTGTCCGGCTGCTGGAAATGGCAATAATACACACAGCAAAGAGACGACTCAAAGGATCACATCAATATTTGTACAGCATGTCTAGGAATAATCAAGGTGGGAAGTGTCACCCTCTTCAGTGTCTCTTGAATGTGAAATTGGATGCTGAAGTGGCCTCGGATGCATGCTGTCAGCCACACTGACGATGGATGAATTTGGCACGACGCTCTCTCGACAATGCGTAATGTGATAATGTGCGTAAATTGCGCCCCATTAAAAGTCAGTAATACAGCAAGCAAGTATGCGGCTGATTGTCTCGAGCGGGTTTTGCTACATATAGCCAACTGTGTCCCGAAGTACAGGATGTGTTGTTGTTTTTATTGTTTTTGAGACTTTCATTGTGTGTTGTGGCGCAGTATCCACCCCTCTGGGCCAGGGTAGGGTGAACCAGCTGGGCGGCGTGTTCATCAACGGGAGGCCCCTGCCAAACCACATCCGACACAAGATAGTGGAGATGGCCCACCACGGCATCCGACCCTGCGTAATCTCGCGACAACTGCGAGTTTCTCACGGTTGCGTCTCGAAGATCCTCTGCCGATACCAAGAGACCGGCTCGATCCGTCCGGGAGCCATAGGAGGCAGCAAGCCCAGGGTGAGTGGGACCCATGAAGGACACCTGAGGGATCACGTGTCGTCCTGATATCATATCATGGACGGACGACCGGGACAACGCATGAGTAGATCTCCTCTTGTGTTTTTTTTGTCTAAATAATAATACTAATAACATTGATAATAAATTACTTTTTAGCCCAGTAACAGCATTTTTTCAGTTCTGGTTATAACAAAGTTTATGGATGGTATTTTGTTCTCGATAATATTTTAATGAATTTGAGAAATATACACAACAATACTGAGGAGCAAATTCCCTTAATAATAATAATTGTTGTCTACGGTGCTCAGTATTGCATGACTATAAATATTGTATTTATTTAACATTAAATAATTCTAATATTTTTTGTCACACAATTTTTATTTGATATTTTTTAGAGAAACGTAGTTTGTCACAGGTGTTTTTTAAATTTCGTTTATTGTGCCGGTCTGACCTTTTAATTATTGACGTATTTGTTGTTCTCAAAAAAAATATATAGTTTTTTTCTTTAGTAAACCTATGTATTAGGATCACAGTTGTCTTCATCTTTTGAAAAGCCTGTCAATTAAAACTGAAATTCCTTCCTTTCTTTGCCCATTTCCTCCCTTTGCACCATTTCAAACCTAAAGCAGGTGGCTACTCCCGACGTGGAGAAGCGGATCGAGGAGTACAAGAGAGAAAACCCCGGTATGTTCAGCTGGGAGATCCGGGATAAGCTGCTGAAGGACGGGGTGTGCGACAGAAGCACAGTTCCTTCAGGTGAGGCTTCATCTGGTAAGCTGCACTTTTTTTTTTCTTATTACGAGCGAACTCTGCAGCATCACTTCTGAACATCACTTTGAATCCAACATGTTTTAAGCTCCAGTTACTGGTAATAACATGTTTGAGTGTAGCAGGAGGCACACATGTAGCTATGTGACCCAGAACAAAAATCACCCTGTGCCTTTGATGCTCAACAGATAATTTTCATTACTGTATTTATAGTGTCATTTTTTACTTTAATTTAGTTTTTTTTCAACGCAGCTTCTTCATGTAAAACTTTTTCTGTGCTTTTTTTGTGTGGTGTCCTAAAAAATGTATGATAGGATTACAATGGTTCTTTTATGGGTTTTAGAGCTAATCACCCATTTACCTTTTTGTTGCCATTAGTGAGCTCCATCAGCCGCGTATTGAGGGCCCGATTTGGCAAAAAAGATGACGAGGATGACTGTGATAAGAAGGATGAAGATGGAGAAAAGAAAACAAAGCATAGCATCGATGGCATCCTCGGTGATAAATGTAAGTTAACAGCAGAAACTATATGGCCCTTTTGTTTATGTCTGAAATAACAAATAATGATCATTATTATTATTACTATTTAGGGTAAATTGCAGCCTTGTAAGCAGAAAGCAAATGTTTAAACTACACTCCCTACTTTACGTCCTCTTGGGAAATTGTCCCACATCCGAGCTGCAGCTAAACGCAGAGAATTTGCTCCTGCTTTTAACTCCGAGCCAGCAGTTGTTCATTCACTCAATTATTTATGAGAGCCTTGGCAGACGGTATTTAACTGCAGAAAATTAATTTGTGTAGCGAATTCCTCCTCATTCATTCAGTCATTTAACGACCTCTAGATGACAGCTGACAGTTGACCCAACCACAATCGATGTCAGTTCACTGACATTTCCCCACTTCATTTAAAGTGGAAATGTTCATATTATTATTTGCTGTATCAGTAATGCATGCGAGGAGGGGAGAATAACGCTTTGACGCAGGTATTTGCTGTCCGAGATTTTTAATAATTTTTACAAGCTTATAGTACGTTTCCATGAATTGATTTATCATGTGGTGTCCCGCATATTTTTAGTATGTTTTATATTTTAAAAATATTAAATATAAAATCATGATTGCTGACATTTTTCGTATTAAGTTTGGTTAAAAGTTGTTCAACATTGTCAAAGATGAACGTCTGTTTTTTTTACTGTGTTATTTTATCGTCTTCTTTAGTTTTATTGGCATTGAGTAAAAAACGCCCAACACGGTGTAAAGGTTGGCTTTTTTTGACTATAAAATAAGTGGATGGGTTTTAGATAATACTTCATAAAATCCCAAATGTTCCCCCAAAAGACACTGCCAGAACATTTTCAAACTTGAAGATGAACTTCACGAGCGAAACCTCCCCTCCATTGACGCGTTTCTAAAGTGAAGAGTCCGAGGTACAAAAGCAAATCCTGGAAAGCAGGGCAGCGAGAAGGAGACAATGGACGCGTCCATTCTCATTCAAAAAGCGGGTAAAAAAGTAGAGAAAACGTGGGACAAAGGGCAAAGAGTGACATAAAAGGAGATGAATTATTCAGTACGCCCCGCTGGTAGATAGTTTTGTAATTTTATATAATGGCCCTTTGGAGAAGAATCAGTTGATAGCGTGAAAACGGTCTCTTTTTTTCTGTCACACCACGCGTTAATGTTACGGGGAAAATGTCACAATTTTGTAGCAAATCCTTCAAGTGTCGATGTAGATGGTTTGTAAACCCTTTCGGCTAAAAATGACCAACATTCTTTTTGGAGAGTCTCGTTACGCGCAGCGCTGCCGCGTAACAGCGAGCACATGTTTTCTGACTAATGCGATGGGTTGACTTGTAAAGTGTTAAATACTTTATTATTGCATTATTATTGACTTTCTACTGCTGGTGCAAAAATATCTACATAATGTTCCCGCGTCTCCTTTTTTTTCTCCCGTGGTGCTCCTTGTGTTTTAAATTGGAAGTCAATTACGTTGCTATAAAAAGAGACGCATCCTCTGCGTAAAGCAGTTTAGACTACCGGCATCCGGATGGCATTTAATAATGTTAATACTTATTAGAGTAAGCGCTGGAAACGATGTTTGCTGAATAGGTGGCTGTGTTCGTGCAGGGTGTAATAGCTCGCAGGCATGGTAAGAAATGTATTTATCCCCAATCAGCCCCTCACTCCGCGAGTTTGAAGCACAGCCCTTATGTGGAGAGGGGTTTTAAAGCAGATTAAATAGAGCCTTTTATTTCTTTTCACTTTCATCTCTGAGCGGAGCTCACAGTGGCTCGCCCAGGGCACAAAATTCATGAGTTTTTTTTTTTCGTTTACTTCTTCTTACTACTTATCCCGATTTTAAGACTTTATTTATTTATCTATTTGTTTATTAGGCCTGTGTATTTGATTTTCTCAAGGGTTACATCACGGATTTATCCCCGTTCTAATCTAGTTTTATTCAACGTGTATTGAAATCGCTAAGCATTTTACAATTTTGTACATTTATTTTGTTGCTTGAGGTAATTTGTTATTTCTCATAAACATTTGGCGGGAGTCGGTGCACGTGCTTTCATTTTGCTATAGTGTCCCTGAACGTGCTCCGATAATTGCGGATCGTCTGTCACCATCGCGCGGAGATCTCACCCACCTTTGTGCAGAAATACAACAACTCACTCTGTTAACGACGGTTCAATCCCGAGCGAAACTTTAATCCCGCGCACGTTATCGCGGAAAGGTTGCACTTCCGCTGTGCAAACCCTGGACATCCTTTTGTCTTCCACCGCGGCGCGCGTAAAGGAAAAGAGCAATCGGCTGCCGTGCGTCCATCTGCCACACTAAACGCAACCGACCTGACCGTCCGACGAGGCGCAGACAGGCGATGGACACTTCAGCAAATCGCAGGATTACCTGAGGTCCTCAATGTAATTAAACAGATGTCAGGTGGGATTATTTCCGAGCATCGGGGAAAGAAAGCGACAGAGCAGCAGAGAGGTGCGAGGAAGTCAGACAGACCAAAGGTAGAGGTTAGGACATGGCTAAAAGGGGGGTACTCTATTTAATTTGTAGAGGAATGCGTCTGGGGCGTAAATCAATCACGACTTTACATTTTAGGGACAAAAAAAAACTAAAACTATATCGTATTGCGTTACCTGTAGGCCAAATGTTTGTTACTTTACGTTTATTCTTCCATATAGGTAACTGCACCTGCAGAACAAACACGGTATAAACACGTTTTTGCTGTTATTAGCAATAAAAACTCCCCATAGTGATTAAACAGGGTCAAAAACTGCCGCCTCCGCGCTCTCACGTCACCATCACGCGCGGACCAACGCGCGCGCACACGCCGTCGCTAAGTGTATGGTAATATAATGTAGCTATATTTCGGGTCTAAAGCCGTGCTGAATGAGAAGGACAGGGGAATGAAGCGAGAGACCACTTCAAACAAATCCATCTGGAACAGTGTGTGAGAGAGATTCACTGAAAGTATGGGGAAGTTATTTAGCTATTAATAACGTTTTTTCCTCAGGCATTGAGAGTGACTCCATCTGCACTTTCTCGCAGCTATTTGGCTGGGTGGAAATTGAGGGAGACCCAAATGTTGGGCAGAGATAACATACCCATCATAGCCCAGACCCTGCGCTGTGCTTCACTGCATTAAACTCGGATTAACCTCCCCTGTCCCCGCAGCCACTCAAGCCACATTTCACTGGAATTTACATCGGTAGGCCTACATTTGAGGGGCAGCAGTGGAAAGACGCGTCATCACCGATAATAATAATAGTGATTATTATTAATAATATTGTAATAAATATTAATAATATTATTTATGATATAAATAATGAAGTGTACGTGTAATCAAAGAAACGTAACTGCTGGTTGTTCTATGGCAATTTCTTTGAATTATTTTGAATAGCATTGTTGTACATATTCACCAGAAAAATACATATTTGTAGATAGATTCCACGAATATATTAGTTTGCTGCGTTTGACTGAGTGTCCGTGTTGCTCCGGTAATGTTTATTTGGCATAGATGGCAGCTCTATTTATGGTCTTTTTCTCATGGTTGAAATAAACAGTGACAGGATGACAAGAACCAAAAAAATACATCAACATCAACAATTTGATCAATAGTGAATGGTGCCATTATTTTATTCAGCATATTTCTTTTTGTTTCATTAAAAAAAAATTGGTGTAATTAGTCGTTGATGACACATTACTATATTTTATGGTGAAGATCTACCACCAGTGTAACAAATTAGGCTATTGGTTCCAGCAAGGTAACATGAGCAAACCGTGCAACATAATAACATGAAACTCATTGCTTATGAGTAATGAGTAATGCATCAATTTGAAAGAGTGCGGTTTAAGCTTGTAGGCCTACGACCACACTGCAGAGCCGTTTCAGTGTCAGGAGCTTTAAGTGTCGGCTGCATTAGGCTAAATAAAAAAAAAATGGAGTAGGCTTAAATTCATTCTGTGCTGGCATTTGACTTTGATCACATCAGAAATATTCATGGAAGCACAAACACCAGCTATGCCACCATTATCCAGGCTGACAGTGATACCTCTCAAGGCTGTCTATTAATTAAAGTGGCGCTTACCATGTGGGACGACTCCCTATCTGGGCACAAAAATGGTTTTTCCATCTCTTGTGGGGCTCTTGAAAAGGGGCAATCTTTCCTCTCCAGCTTCTTTTGGGAAATTTAAAAGTGTACAGAGGAAGACATGGGGATTTCTTGCTCATTTATAAAGAGGAGTTTATAATCCTTTCCTGCTTAATAACTTAAAAGGATTCAATTTCTCCCCTCATTTATGGGGTTGTGATCACACATTGTTAAGCGCAGATAGTAGCATTTCAAGGTTAACATTTCCTGCTAGAAAATATCAGAATATAAGCTGTAAACCCATAGGTGCCCATTGTTTAGCCAGCAATTTCCCTCACAAATGCCCATTTTAGATGTTGTTACTATTAATGTGATAACAAGGACGCAGCCGAGAAAGACCAAGTTGATAAGATGTCTCATGTGATGATGTGCCAGTAAGCATTTTTTAATGATACGATATTTAATTATAGCATATAATTTCACCATCGAGAATTAAACTCAGTAGGCTTACGAACACTCTGAGGATTGAACGTCTGGTTGGGGGTCTCAAACCATACGAGTCAAATTAAAGAGGAAGCGTTGCCCTCCAGGTATCCTGTCGCAACGCTCTCATTTCTGTCTCTGTTTTATTCCGCCAATTTTCACTCCGGGGCTCCGGGATTCTGCCTGCAGGGCTGTTGTAGTCCAAAATGTCTTTTTTTTTTTTTCATCTCTCTCTCTCTCTCTCTCTCCCTCTCTGTCTCCCTCGTGCATCTCACATTCATCTCAACAGGTGGGGGTATTAGTTACCAAACATTTGACTTTTAGGTAGCATCCCTTGTAAAATCATTTTTGCTGCATGATTTGTTGAATAATTCATCTCAGAAATATGTGGGATCTCATTTGATAAGGTCTTCTAAAAAATATGTT